GCTCCTTCCCACTGAGGCTGAACTCGCCAAGATATGTGGGTGCTAGGCACTTGATCAGATCCTCTTCCACGCCTCCAGCAGTGGTCACCAACACATCCACCTGTAGCCGCAGGCAACAACACTGGCCCTCATGCTAAGCAGCACTCCTAACATCAGCACGAACTCATCCAGACCCAAAGCATGCAACAAAACCAACTCAAGTCTGTTCCTCTGCTTAGAGCAAACCCATGGCCAGAAAAAGTGGCACACTCCTGTGATCCCATCACTCACCAGGCATCCAAAAACAAAAACCCATCTCCTTGCATCCTTTTTAAAAATTTTTCTTTTATGTGTACCAATGTTTTCCCTACATCCCTGAAAATGGCGTTACGGGAATTTGTGAGTCACCACATGGGTGCTGGGAACCAAACACAGACCTTCCACAAGATATTCCACAAATATTCTTAACCTCTGAACCTCTTCAGACCTCTCATTTCTCTTAAATGAACAGTAACCTTACTATCCATTAGCCCAAGGAGGCTGAGGCCACAGACCTAATGTGGTCTCACCATGTTGTGCTGCACAAGATAGCGAATGGTCTCACGGATGCCCGAACTGATGAGGTTGGATGTGTAGCCCAAGAAAATGGTGCATCCTGTGAGTGGGCGGCGGCTCTGCGTCAGGTCTTCATGGTGGTCTTCATCCAGTGCTAGCGGCTCCAGCTTCTTCTCAATCTGCACGTGAGGGAGGGAACAGTAAGGCCGCACTGATTCCAAAGCTCAGTGGAGGAACCCCAGGAGGAATGGATTCCAGAGTTTGCTTGTACTCAAGGATACAGGACTACCTCAAAACCAAAGCACAACTGCTGTGCAGACCCTAGCCCTGCCTTTCGCAGTCCAGGTCTGTCACTTAGGGTCTGTTCCCTGTTAGGAACCATACAGTATCTTCTTTTCAAGTCTCCTTCCACTGGGAAAAGTGAATCCAAGGCTTTAAGCTCCTTCTACAATGTTCTTCCATTAACCCCAATCTCCCCCCATCCCAGGAAGCAAATTTACCAGAACTCCGCCCAGTCCAGACACTCACACGCGAATCCGCGCGGGGCGGCCCCGCCCTCCCGTCCCACTCCAGGCCGCCCTGCGCCTCACCATGGCGTTGACTTGCTGCACTGCGCGTCCAAAGTTGGTAGCCTGGAATCCGGTGGTGCCAAAGGCCTCCAGAAGAGCGTGGTAATCTACACCGCGGTTGAAGTCGTAACCCTGCACCTGAGCGCTCTCGGGCGGCAACGCCGAGCTGTGCTTGAGCACGGCGGCCAACGCCGCGGCGGGCGCCACCCCCTGCGGGGTCCCCTCCATGCGCCTGCAGCCGCTCTCAGGTCACAGCTGCCTCGGTTCCTCAGGACGCGCGGGATCTCACTCAGCGTGGTCGGCCCGAGCCCAGGAAAGGGGACTCGAGAGCCTGGGGGAGGGACGGGGACCGGAAGCTTTTAGTCACATGACCCTCGGCAGCGCCCGCAGTCCTGGTAGCAGCCATCTTACGCCTGTGTTCCGTACACTGGCAAACGGAGTCCCTTTAAGAGGACTCAGCTTTAAGCAGATGAAATTGCCTAATTTGAAAGTTGTCTGTCAAAATATTTTTGTCCCCTATGAGCGAGGTGATTGTTCGTTCCTAAGACAGAGCCCTTAGACAGGATTTGGGGCATCGGGCAAAATGAGTTAGCTGCAACCTCTTGTCAAACGGAATAGGAATTCCTTTTGGTGCCTCCCAAAGTCTCCAAAAACTTCAGTGCCTCCTTTTCTTCCCCTCCAGCCACAGCTGTCACCTTCCACTGAGCCATGGGTCCCTTGTGGGAGGCAGGCATGGCTTTTTTTTTAACCCCAAGAAGCAACAGGGGCACCTATTATTAATTCCATAATTTGTGTAGTCTACACTAAATAGTGCTCTTTGCTGGGCACTGAGATTCAACAGTGAACAAGACCTCTGCCTTCCTGATGTCCATAGTCTGAATGATGAAACAGAAAATTGTGGTTAAGCCAGGCTCGGTGCACACACCAGCCAGCCAGCAGTTAAGAGGTGAAGCAGGAGAATCTCAAGTTCCAGCCCAGCTTGAACGATAGAGTGAGACCATGGCTCAACAAAGTACAGCTTTGCAAGAGTGTGGATTGGATCTATGTATTCAATTCCTAGAACCCAAATTAAAAAAAAAAAAAATGGCTGTGAGGGCAGTGCCAGTATTTCCAGCTCTGGAGTAGCAGAGACAGGCAGTTCCTGGGGACTTGTAGGATGACTCAGTGGCCAAAGGCACATGGTAAAAGGAAAGAGCTTCAGACTCCCATAAATTATCTTCTGACCTCCAAAAGGTCACACATGCACATGCTCACATATGCACAAAATAAAAGATTTGGGGGACCAGGTGGATGTCTCCTGGCCTACACACACACTCAAATATGAAGGTGGATGGAAGAGTCCATAACCTTAGCTGAAGGAAAAAGTGATTGGAGAAAAATGCCAAATACGTGGCATTTTGGCAAAGGCCAGAAGAACTAGAAAATTCCTATTTAATATAAAGATTTCAGAGACACTACTCCAAAGATGCAAGGACAGAGACCCCCTCTTCAGGTAACCCCCTAAATATGCTAGCACTGCCCAATGCCACATGTGGCTGAGAATTGCATACCTCTAGCCGGTGGCATGCAGAAGGGCAAAGTGGCTGAATTCCAGGTAAGAGTCTGATGCCAGCACTCCCTCCTTCTATGAGGAACAGGTTCAATCTTGAGGGCTGACTGTAGGTAGCCAGAGCTGCTCTGATTAAGATAGCAATGGCTGTTATGCTCAGATAAACACTGAGTCACCAGTGATTTGCATGCAGAGGAAAAAGCCTGTAAGAACACAGGAAGAAGTTGTCCTCTGGGCTGGTGAGATCACAACTCACTGGGTAAAAGCCATTGTCAGGAGGCCTGGCTACCTGAGTTCAATCCCCAAGCCCCAGATGGTGTAAAAGTAGAGAATGGACTTCAGAAAGCTGTCCTGATTTACACATGCCTCCCCCCTCACCCCAACACACACAAATACTTTTGTGACTGTCTCACCATGTAACTCTGACTGGCCTGGAACTTACTATATAGACCTGGCTGGCCTCAACTCACAGAGATCAGCCTGCCTCTACCTCCTGAGTGCTGGGATAATGAATGTAATTTTAAAATAATTTTTAAAAAGCAGTAGACGAAACAACAGTCTCTAGAGAAACCAAAACCAGCACCTTGACTTCCAACCACCCAGCCAACAATTCCTATAATTTATACAATTCAGTCTGTGGTATCTGTTGTAGCAGCTCAAGGCTCATACACTGAGGAAGGAAGAGAGGGAGGGAAGGAACACAACAGTGTCAGGGTAATCCCTGAGGGATAATGGGGAAGGCCAATAAGAGGCTGGGTGTGCTGAGAGGATCTAGAGTCCCAGCTACTCAAGGGGATGAGGCAGAGGGACACCTTGGCCCTGCGGTGAAAGACTAGTCTAGATGATATATAGCCAGCCCTGAGTGGTAATTGTGGTGTTGATCATATAAATAACAAAGGAATTCCAAGAGTTGGTCTGATGGCAGCACCCTGTGGACTGCAGAGGATGTGGCTACTGAAAGAGGCTGCAAAGCAGGTGGAGAGCAGTGGTTTGATTTTCTTGACAGGGTCCTTCTGTGGCCCAGGCTTCTCTAACTCCTGCCTCTCAGTAAACAGTCTTTCCACCTCAGCTTCTAGAGTAGCTTGGAATATACCTGGTGCCAACCACCCAACCCCGATTGGTTTTTGTTTTTGTTTTGTTTGAGATAGGGTCTTACTGTGTAGCCCCAGCCAGCCTCGAGAGTGACACCACACCATGCCCACAACAGCCAGGGCAGGGCAGAGGAAAGCTGGCAAATGACACACAGAGACTGTACTGGTTTAGGCCAGTGGGTCAGGGTTGGGGAGGAAGACAGGTGACATGAACAATAAGAGCAGGAACCAGAGAACTTCACTCAAAGACTGATAGGGCCAGGTAGTGGTGGTATACACCTTTGAGCCCAGGAAGGCAGAGGCAGGTGGATCTCTTGAGTTCAAGACCAGTCTAGTCTACAAAGTCAGTTCCAGGACAGTCAGGGCTACACAGAGAAACCCTGTCTCCAAAAACCAAAACAAACAAACCAAACAAAAGCAAAAAACAACCAAAAGGCTGATTGATATGATGGTACCTGAGGCAGTTAGATAGGAGGAGAGGGATGAAGGCCTTGGAGATGGATGCCTGAGCAGCTGGGATACAAGTCTGGGGGTGAACACAGTAAGAGGTATAACACACAAGAGTGATGTCAGGCCAGGCATGATGGCAAGGTCAGCCTAGGCTACCATAGTCACTTTGAAGACAGCCCTATGAGACCCATTAAAATTTATATTTTTAAATGGGGTAAGGGCTGGGCAGCGGTAGCCCATGCCTTCTAAGCCCAGCACTCAGGAGGCAGAGACGGGCATGGATCTCTTGTGAGTTCAAGGCCAGCCTGGCATATAGAGAGCAAGTTCCAAGACAGGCTCCAAAGCTACAGAGAAACTGTCTCAAGAAAAAGGAAGAGAAAAGAAGAGAAGAAAAAAAGAAAAGAAAAAGACAGTTTGGAGTTCAGGGAAGAGCCCAGCCAGGGTACACACACAGTCTGCATGAGGTGGCAGAAATAGGGAGGGAGGTCTGCTGTGAACAGTCCACAGATACCCAGCATGGAAGAGTCCCACATCCTCAGGTCTGAAGCCAAGCTGCCTAGTCCCTCAGGGGATCCAAGAAACATGTGACACCAAAGCAGCCACTGGGCCTCCTGGGGATCGGACCCCTTCTGTCACAGCAGCTGCTGCTGTTGTTGAGGTGACATTTTATTGGGTCCCCACTTCAAAGTCTCCACAGGGACTGGGAAGGGGGTTGAAGTATTGAGGAGGGAGCCAGAATAGGGTAGCTAGCTGAGACTGGAGCAGGCAGCCAAGCGTGTTCAGTAGTCTTCAGCTAAGGTATCTGAACGTGTGGGAACCAGGAGTAGCCAGGGACCCAGAAAGACTTGCAGAAGCTTGAAAGCTCAGGCTTGCACAGCCCTGCTCACCTTCTCCCAGATGTCCAGCAAGGCGGCCACTGGCAGTGACATCGGACAGGCCCGCCGGGCAGTGGAGCAATTGCGGATGGAGGCAGGCATCAACCGCATAAAGGTAAGGGTTGGGGCAGGCTTGGAGTGGGCACAGCTGGGCAAGGGAGCAGGCGGACACCCAGATGTGGCTGACTTGGTTGGTCTGCAGGTGTCCAAGGCAGCCACAGATCTGCTGCAGTTCTGCACGGAGCAGGCCAAGAGTGATCCCTTCCTTGTGGGCATCCCAGCTGCCACCAACCCTTTCAAGGAAAAGAAGCCCTGTGCTATCCTATGACCCCACCATAATGCTACTACCCATGACCCTGAGTACCAGGGCCTCAATAAACATGACTGCTCCTATGTTACAATTTGTGTGTGCTAAAGCAGGAGGATGAGGAGTAGCACAGCTTTTGGGGATCTGTGCACACCTGTCAGGCTTCCTTCTATGCTCATTTCCAGTCACAGCCGCACATACCTGCGCACCTAGAGCCCTGCATGGAGAGACCCACACTATGGCCCCCTGCCATACCTACATAGCTACAGGGTGGTTGGGGCAGATGTCTGCTCCCTCCATACAGACTTTACTAGGAATCTGAGTCAGAGTCCTACATGCCACATAGCCCATAAGCACCTCACTAAGTTAAGTCAGACTAAGTGTCCATGGTCCTTGAGGGCATGCACACAAGGAGCAGCAGGCACCCGAGCCCTAACACGCTAGCCCTCCCACTCAGTCACATGTACAACCCTAAACAGTCACAGAACATGGTCACACAGAACTCTCACTCCAGTTTTCAACAACTGCACAGTAGGCCATTTATTTCTCCTTCACTCTCTTGTGGGAAACAAACACCCAAATACGAACAAAACAGGGATCATCCAGGCTTGGTGGTGCACCCATTATCCCAACACTTGGAGACTTAGGCAGGAGGATCAGGCATTCAAGGCCTGCCTCAAATACATAGAGAGTATGCGGACAGCATGGGTTACATGAGACCCTGTCTCAACAAACAGAACAAAACAAAATAACCCAAGGGTGGAAGGTAAGGAACAGCCCCCTGGATGTATAAAACCAGAATGTCACCTCCACAGGCACAGGTGTGGGCCCAGCCCTAGGGCTTCCTCTGCCCCAGGCCTGTGGAGCAGGGCAGAAGCAGCACCAATCGCAGGAAGGTCCTCCAGAGCTGAGGCCTATGTGCAGCCTCAGCAGGCAGTATACACCGACATCCAGGCACATCCATGTCCAGCTCTTTAGGCCAGCAGCCTCCAGACCTCCAATGACAGGCCACCAGAGGCAGCCACCACCACATTGCCCTCAGCACAGATCTGGGGAGCAGTGACAGTGGAATTAGGAGATGGCATGGGTTCTTGGTAGGGGTCAGCAAGCTACATGGGGCAGGACCTTACCCCATTCAACACATTGTGGTGGCTTCTGGTACAGATGGTCCTGGGTGGGTCTGTGGGCACATGAACCTGAGAAGGGTAAGGGGCAGAGGTCAGTCTATGTGCCCTGGCCAGCGGGGGAGTCTGCATGGGCCAGTGTTCTTACCCGAATGGTCTTGTCAGTAGATGTTGTGTACAAAGTCCCCAGTGAGTGTTTGATCCCTGTAATCTGAGACTGGTGACCCACATCAAAGGACTAAGGGAGAAATAATGGGTGACACTCAGGTAGAGTTCTCTCATGGTTAGCCCTCCAACCCAAGGAGTTACAGGGAAGGTACAGACAAGGCTCCTAGCAGACCCGAACAAGCTGGAAGCAACCATCTCGGTTGGCGAAGACGTGCAGCAGGCCCTGGTTGTCACCCGCCCAGAGCTGAGGCTCCTGGTAAGACATGCAGAGCAGATAGGAGTCCAGCTGTGGGAAGGACAAGGCATAGAGCAGCTCAGGAATGGCGAGCTGGGCTGCAGTCCTCCTCGGGGCTACTGGGAAGGGCACCCCACCTGCAGCCGCTGCAAGACACTGTTGGCCCGGCGATCAAATACCACAAGACTGTGGTCCTCACTGCCTGAGATGATATGCCTGTCATCTGCCAGCACCGCTAGCACAGCGCTCGAGTGCAGCCTCCGGCTCTTCACCAGGGCCAAGCCAGCTAGAGTGGGATGATGAGCCAAGGAGGATGAAGGATATCAGAGCCTTTCAGAGACTCTGGCCCACCTGAGGATCTGGGCCACTATCTCGCCTTCTTGGCTCCTTACCAATCACTCTCCTCCCCTCAGTGTCCACCTGGATCCAGGACCCACAGGCTTTTATCCTTTCGTAGCCCCTGCCTCCATGCCTCCTCTCCTTCCTACCCCACAGCCTGTCCCAAAACAGAGCCAAGCACTTCATTCCACCCAAGCCTAAGTCCATCTCAGGATCCCTTCAGTTTAATGGAGTAAGATGACTCAGTCATGGCTGAGGTTGGGGATATGGCTCAACAACTAAGCAATAGACTAGCAAGCACAAGGCCTTGGCTTCTATCCCAGGATGGGGGGCAGGGGAGATTAATCATCAGCCAGGCTTCATGGTGCAATCCTAGAACCCAACTGCAGAGGAGTCCGAAGGCTGAGACAGGAGGATTAATGGGTAGAAGCCACTCTAAGATATAAAGTGAGTTTGAGGCTAGCCTGGGCAACATAGGAGTCTGTCTCAGAGTGGAAAAAAAAAAAAACAAAAACAAAAACAGAATACAGTTCAGGGACAAAGCATTTGTTTAACATGAGGGAGGCACTAGGTTCAATCTCTAGAACAAGAACAATAGATCACAGAGACACAGAGAATACTTGCAATGCAGACAGAGTTAGTTTATCCACCAATGTCCTTTGTTCAAATGACTCAATGTGTATGGGTGTTTTGTCTACATGTGTCTGTACACGGCATGAATACCCTGCCCATGAAGGCCAGAAGGCAATGGATCCTCTTATATTAGAGTTACAGGTGGTTGTTTGTTAGCTAATAACATGTGGGTGCCTCCCACCCAACCCAGGTCTTCTGGAAGGTCAATCAGTGCTCTTAATTGTCAAACCATCTCTTTAGCTCCTGCACTGCCCCTGCCCACTCCAGCCCCAATGTTCTTTTCTATTGTTTTGTTTCTGAGCCAGGGTCTCATTGTGCAGCTCTGGTTGGCCTGGAATTTACTATGTAGACCATGCTAATCTTGAACTCACAGAGATCGCTTCCCTTTGCCTTCTAAGCACTTAAGTTAAAGGCTCACCTCTTGGATCATAGATGGTCACCTTCTTGTCATAGGTACCCGTCACCAGGATGTCAGGTTGGTAGGAGAGGCACAGCACTGCCGCCTTGCCCCTGGGGACACACGGCACACAAGGCTGGGGTGATGGCTTGGGCAGGGCCCTACCCACCCAGGCCCCCTGCCCGGGCCCCCTCACACTTGATCTCGCCAAACTGCTGCCCGTCAGCCTCCATGTCCCACAGCTTCACAGTGCTGTCCCAAGAGCCGGAGCACACACGGTGGTCCTGTGCTGCTAGCGACCACACCCAGCCCTGTGGGAGCAGGCACAAGTCACTTTGAGGGCTGTATAACAGTTCATGGCTCTCTCCTCCCCAAAGCCCAAGAGGAAGCCTGGACCTTCTAGCTTTTTCAAAAGAGGATGCAAGAGATGAACAGATTCACTCAGAGCCAAACAGCTCTTCCTCCTTCATGCCCATTTCTACAGACACTTCAGTAACACACACAACTCCCACTCAACAGATGACAAAACCAAGGGTCTGGAGGAGGAGGGAAACAACTGAAAACTCACAACACATCCCAGTGTGTGAGGTTAAGGTTTGGGTCTGCAAGCCTGTCAGAGCCTGGTAACAAGAACATACATCCCCAATGGTATCTAGAGAGGCCCCTCGCTCTCTTAGTGCCCCCCACCCCTCTCTGTGCTAGGATAGAACCCAGGGCCTCAACACATTCTAGGCAAGTGCTCTATCACTGAGCTACACTCTAGCAGTTTTCAATAGCTTATTTTTTGTACTTCTGTGCTTTGAACATTCTGACTCTACAGTCCATGCTGGCCTAAACTCATCATGTAGCTCAGGCTAGTTTCAAACTTAGAACAATCCTCTCTGCCTTTAGCTTCCTGAGAGTGTTAGCATTACAGGCCTGAGCCATCACAGTCTAAGTTAAGGCCTTCAGAGGCCCACACACACTGATGGAGTTTGAGGCCTCAAGCAACCAAATTAAGCATGTAGCCTCTAGGGCTAGGAAGATGGCTCAACAGTTATGAGCTTTCAGAGGACCCAAGTTTGATTCCCAGCACCTACAGGGCAGCTTACAACCAAGGGATCCAATGACCTCTCCTGGTCTCCATGTACACTTGGCGTACAGATATACATGCAACTAAAACACCCATACACATAAATTTTCAATTTAAAAAAAAGTTGCTGGACAGTGGTGGCATACATTTTTAATCCCAGCACTCTGAAGGGAGAGGCAGACAGATCTCTGTGAGTCTGAGGCCAGCCTGGACTATGGAGTGAGTTCTAGGACAGCTGGGCCTACACAGAGAAAAAAAGTACAGAAACTAACTGAATGCCTTCCCCTTTCTATTTACAAAAATACCCACCCCCCCAAAATAAAACAAAAACAAAAACAAAAAACAAAAAAAAAAAACAAAAAAAAACACACACACACACACACAGTTCTGCCTTATCAGTTACTGTGTGTAGTGAGCTGGCATCTGGTCAACACATTCCCTGCCAAACTCTTTAAGAAAGGTACTGTAACATATACTGCTTGATAAATGATGTAACTTGGGTACAAAGAGGTTGAATTCCCCCACCAAGAACACACAGCCAGGATGTAACAGAGTGAACATTTTAATTCAGCGTTCATTTCTGTTGGTCATGGGCACAGATCACCTTAAGAATAGGTGGAACTGTCCTTTATCAGCCACTTCTCATGAAAGGACAGTCATCCTGAAGGCTAGCTGATGCCCAATGGCAGCTTTATAACTGTTCTGCCATGGGCCTCTTGATAACTTATTGAGCACCTACTGTGTGCCAAAGAATAAATTGATGGCATACTCATATTAATACTTAATCCATCCTCATCTTACCACCCATTAGACAGTGAAAACTTAACTCACCACTAGTTATACCAACAGCACAGGTAGTCAAGTCTATGCAATTGCTATCAAACCCCAGTCCCTGAGTTGCAGTACCCTCCCAGCCTCTTTCATGCATCCCAAGATTATTCACCTTGTGTGTGCTATTGCCCTGGGTGCCCAAGGCCTTCACCAGAACTCTGCTAGGCTCCTTCCCTAAATGTCGTAGGTCCCACAGGTTGACATTGCGATCTCGGGAACCTGACAGACACAGTGCCCCACCCTGAAAGAAGAGCATGGAGATGGATGTAG